GCACTAATGTGCACTTTAACTTCCTGTACAAGCTGTATCTCAAGATCCTTGCTATATAGAAGGTTACTGTCTTCACAACTTCAAGTAACCAAGTTCTTTTGGATGGTGGTTATATTAGTTCAGAAATTTCTCACTACGCCAAACTAGTGTTCACATGGGCTACCTGTGTAAGCTCGAAGACAACAAATTATTGATTTGTTGTCTTCGGTAAACTTTAAGGGCTCTAGAGATGAACTACCCTAAGGCTAAAAATCTCTTTAATAAAGAATTAAAAAAAAAACTTTAAGGGCTGTAAAAGTGCCAAATACTCCATTGATGATTTATGTGATTTTTTTTGCTTGATTTGTTTTCCGACGATCTTGTTTTCCGTCGCGCTTATTTTCTGTTCTGAGTATCACACCAGGACCCTATCTATCGACCTATCAACTTATGGACCGGGAACCAATGGTGTTACTTCCCTTCCGAATAAAGGCGTAATGAGAGTTTTTATGCCTCAGAAAATCCCAACGGTGCCGACTGGGACTGAACCCAGGCCCTCGGGGTGAGAGGCAATCACGCTTACCACTACACCACCGGCACCGCTGGTTTATGCGGTATTGCGCTAATTTTTTTATGAAACATCGTGCAAATTTACGCCAAATCCACTAAAAACGGAAATTGCCATCTTAGATTCTAAAATTGCATAATCATCCATTTATGACCTCCATATGTTGCCATAGTCCCGAAAATACAGTTATGGTTGGGTATTTGATTTTCTTTCACAAACTAGGAGTCACCATATTGGGTTCCAAAATGGCATCAATAATTTATTTGTGGCCACTACACATCGTCCCCGTTCCGAAAATATCCAAATGGTGGGGTAAGTATTTGGCACTTTTAAAGGTTTTTCAAATTAAACAAGAAGTTCTTGGGCACACTAGCGCTGCGTAGTGAGAGAGTTCTGAACTTTTATAAGGATCCCAATTTTCTAAAATGCAAGATGGCAGCTTCCGGATTTTGAAAAAAAAAACTGTTAAATATCCTACAAAAGCTAAACAGCTAAAAATAAATTTTAATATTACATCCAAGAGGATGCACTTCCATCATGTCGAAATTTTCATGTAATTTTTATGGCCACAAAAATAAACAAATGCAGTAAAAGCAGCGTGATGTCAGTTCATGCACTGTATTAATGATAATTTTGTCCTTTTTGGCAAGTAATATTACACAAATTTTTTGACACGATGATGTTATATCAAAATTATGTTTTTGCTGTGTAGAACTACGGATTTTGGAACTATACTGGGTTGCAAATATAAAAAAAAACTGTGTGGTGAAATAGTGTTTGGTTTTGAAAACTTGTAATTTTGTCATTTATACACGTAACGAAAATCAATTATTTTATTCATGTGTTTCATTTATACATTTTTGCCAAAACATCAGCCTTATACATTCCATAAGACAAACCACATAGGTCCATACGAATGCATAAAAGGTATGTGTGATCGCTTATACACTTCATTTGACACATGATCTTCATAAACTTTTTGCAAGGCGTCTGTTTATTAGTTGACTTATACATTTTATGAATAATCAGCCATATAAATTTGCCAAAAGGTATAAGGAGATTTCTATCCATGTAGATGAATTTAAAATCCAAATACGCCAATCGACAAGAAATAACTCTACAAATTTGCTAAAATGAATAATGGTCCAGTTTTTCATAAAACAAAAACTATTGAAAAATTAACAAATTATAATTTTATCACTGTTTTCATGAACGTATATTTCAAATATCCCCAAACCCAGTCGCCATACTCGAATACCACATCTTGAACCTGAAAAGCTATAAAACAGTGCTGCTGTCGTGCCTCTACTCATGTCCGTTTCGGACGACGTAGCAAGCAGCAAGCCGTCATGCTGAACGTTCTTGCAGGCATTGCGACCGGTTGATATCGGGCAGGTATGGGATGAGCTTTGTCGATGTCGTACTGAAGCTCATTTTTGCATCGGACAACGTAGTGGACATCGAACAATTGGTTTTTATCAGTCCTCCAATTTTAACGTAGGACTACGTCTTTCGGGAAGGGTGCCAATTCATAGAAATGCAGCGAAAATTGGTCAGACTTTATATGCTAATAACTTGGTCAATAATGGATTTTGATGATTTGTGTGTCAATCTATTTACCAGTGTTATAATATTGGTATGGTATGTCACACATTATCATTTTCTAAATATTTAAATAGTTAACACCAGGGTTCCTTCCATTCATTTCGTAAAAAAAAATGTTTTATTAAATTATGGAATAATAAGATATTATGATAATATTTTGTTTGCGTAAGCAACTAGAAAATATTGTAAAGTTTGTGTTTGACACATAATACCTGCCAATTTTGCTACATGAGAGTCGCAATAAGCGTTTTTGTCATTTATCTCACCCACTCTTCGCTCTTCACTCTTCGCGAAAAGGCGATCAGAAAACCACTCATTGTGACTCTGTCAAAGCTAAATATGCAAGTTTTATGTTTCAAACACAAACTTTACAATCTTGTCTTGTTGCTTACGCAAACCAATTATTATCATAATATCTTACTATTCCATAATTTAATAAAACATTTTTTTAGCCAAAATGAATGGAAGGAACCCTGGTTAACACTGAAGAAATATGTAAATATTCGAATTTCCCATACATTTTCTTCAACCGAAAGGTGCTCACCCCTAACACAGCCATCAAAAAGTTGATGCCTAACGACACAAGCCGAAGCCGCACAATCATTCAGCGTTGCACGTTGGGCGGTTCGACGTCAGACTTGTTCGCTGCAGCATAGTCATGAAATAGATACGAATAGATTATGCCGTATACGTTAAAAGCAATTAATAAAAAGATAAATTACGATTACACGACAAATGAGGTCGACTCCAAGTTGAGGTTCACTCATATTCTTGAAAACGTACACAGAAAAAAATTCTGAATTTTAACTATCGCGTAAAATCTCCCTTCGTTTAATTTTGAGCTATAGCAATACTTGAGCTATAATTTTCATGTAGTTTCCATTGGGGAATGCACATAATATTTTTCCATTAACAAAACCAATGCCTATGCCACCGCTTGACGACTGGGCACACAGTCGCGGTGACACGTTACTACTTTCTAGCTGGTCCTCTCACCATTTTCGCTGCAACGCTGAAATGATCTTCGTTACTGCTCTGCTGACGGCGTTAAAGGTGCCCTCCTCTCGACACATTCCTTCGACGACATTCTCCGTGCTAAGGGCGAGCATCTCCTCTCGCACAGCATCAAATCTAGGACATTCGAAGACCACGTGCTCTGGTGATTCTTCCACATTCCCACACTCTGGACAGAAGGGTGCCGTTGTGTGTCCGAACCGATGCAGGTACTTCCTGAAGCAGCCATGTGTCTGGTCATATATATGGTGTATATATGTATGTATGTGTGTAAGTTCGTATGACTGTAACTCACTCAATTTTCGCAGAGATGGCTGGACCAATTTGAGTGGAACAAGTTCTAGAAGATGTTATTCAGATCCCCATCGCTATTGATTTTTTACCGATCGGAATTATGGTTCCGAAGATATGAACAAAAATGTGAATTCCAGATTCCGCTGGAGAATTTTCGCAAAAGATTTTTTCCTTGATTTGTTTTCCGTCGATCTTGTTTTCCATGCTGAGCACCAATACTACCGATGCCAGGGAGGCAGTTCCCACACCTGGACCCTATCTATCGACCCATCAACTCATGAACCGGGGACCAACGACTTTACTTACCTTCCGTGATCAGAGATGTTATGCATCAGAATATCCCGGCGGCACCTACTGGGATTGAGCCCAGGCCTGCTGGGGTGGGAGATAATCACGCTTATCACTACACCACCGGCGCCGCTGTTGGCAAAAGATTGATATAAGATTACTATAAGATCAATGGTGGACATTTTCAGACCCAATGACCACAATGACCTCTTTCAGATGTACCGGGTACCCCCGGGAAGTGGACAGATTCTGAGATGCGCCGAAATGCATCTTGCTATACCTCAAATCACATGGAACTCAACATAATGATTAGTGCAAATATTCATATTGATTTTCCATAAAGCCTCATTGAAATTCTGAATTAATGCAACCGTGTTAAATATTGTTTACTTGGAGGAATTTATTGATTTTAATTAGTGGCGAATCAAATTACTCGAAATTAGTTATAAGCACACCACCAAATTGTTACCGGAACCCTGGACTCGAACTCAAGTCGACTGCATTGGCAAACCTTGCCACAATCAACTTCGCTACGCCAACACTTTGAACTGCCGCAAACCAATCTACATGACCTTCTACAACAGGATCGCTGTGTAGAGGCTTTATAATGGTGCACATGAATCACTTTTCTCGACTAGTTAGTTCAGCTTTGTAGCTGTAAAACTGCACTAGTCTAAAAATAAACATAGATGACTTTAAAAATGCTTCCAAGGTAGAAAAATCATTAATATTTGCATAGAAGTGACATTAGCGTTTATTGGCTGCTATTATTCAGAGCCACTGACAAATTGAATAATGTTTGTGAAAAATTTGAGTACAGGCTGTATCTGCAGCTTTTTTTCAGCACAATGCTGGAAAAGATGGCTTTTAAAGCTGAAAATGTTAGTTGAGCTATCTTTATGACATTTTTCTTGCCGATAATTATTATAACATGTTATAAATCTGTAGTCTGAATAAGGCATAAGTGGAAGTGGGGGTAAAATCAACATTGCTTTTAAGTGCTTATTCGATGACTTCTCCACCAAATGATCATTTTTACCCCAGTTTCCCCGTATGCAAGTGGTACATGAATATCAACGTATTTTATTATAATTAGATGAGTCTCCGAAGCTCCTTGCTCTGTCACTTCGTAAATATTAAACTGCACACATATCTTCTGAAATACATAATTTCATAACAAAAAGAATAAAAATCATATTAATCCACATGCATAACCTTATTCTTACATGTGTCTAAATTCTCTCTATTACAGCTTTCTCTCATCAAACTCGCAACAGATACAAATGCCAAAGAATGGAAGCTGCACGATATTCGTCGATTTTGTCAACCATTCGAATCCCCATTTTGGGACTGCATGAACATTACGCTCACGTCTATTCAACGGGGTCTCACATGGCCAGGACGAACCTGCTGTTCACTAGGGATGTCTTTGAAGTGCCAGAACGCTTGCTCTACCTCAGCGAAACGAGATAACCTCCAGACAGGATGCCGACATAGTGACGAACAGCGTTTGTTCGATTGTGTCCAACGTCAAGAGGATGGAGATAGCTGTTGTGGGCACGCTAGAACATCGGAATGTCTACTAGCGTGTAAGGATATATTCAGGACGAATCAAACTCCCAACAAACATCAGAGGGAACTAGTCCAACGAACATGCAGCAATAACAATACGGATGTTCTGCAGTGTATCAAAACATACACTGAAGTTACCGTCAATGGAAATTTGAAACATTGTGAGTAATACATTAGGATGGTTAGAATGTTGCAACTTGTTCAATCGCTTTTTTTTTAATGTAGATCTTCCATGCTGTGACCACACTTCTGATAACCAATGCAAAAAATCATGCCGAGAAACTCTGTTGGATGGAAGTTTTACAGAAGAGGAAACTGTTGATGTTCTTCAGAATGCAGGTTGTGGTGTTCCGTTGCCTCATGATCCGTTGTGGAAATGTTTCTTTTCGTTTGGAGAAAAGAAAGTAACTCCAGTCAACTCGAACGAAATTTCCAGAATCAATCAGGTTGGGATGGATTCGGCCAAACTGCACTGTTGCCTAAAAGCAAACTCATCCCGATGTCGAAAGTTTTGCGTTGCAACGTATTCCAACGAATGGACTACAAATTTGGCAGAGTTTGAGCATGACTGCTTGCTTTCAACCGAGGAGTATAGTATGAAGCAGTGTGTCGATGAAGGTAGGGGTATTAGCTTGAGTTAGTTTTATTTTAATTTATGCAGTCTTGTTATAGTTGACGAACCGTGTGAGTTGGGATGTGATGGACTTTCGTACTGCAGTAATTTCAATAATCGACCAACGGAGCTGTTTCGTAGCTGCAGAGCTCAATCGGATAACGCAGCCCTCAGTGATGTGGAACAGTGGAAGGAACAGCAGTACGTCAGGCTTCCTGGTATCAATTTACCGATTCGAAATATCAGCGAGTGTACGTTTGAAACATGGAAATCCGTTGCATGTCTGCTACAGATTAAGCCTTGTACAAGGAGCTACCACACAAATCGCATTTGCCGAGAAGATTGCTATGAAGTGTTAGGACGGTGCGTGGATTGGAATCGGATGACGATGAAGCACTCAGTAGCATCCTTGTGCCAGATGTTCTCTCCGGATGCCAATGACGAATCTGAGTGTGTATCGTTAAAAAGATACCGCGAACCAAGTGATTTTGCCGAGAAGAATTCAGATGTTGCTTTGCTTTCACCATGTAAAGGAAATCCATGTAATTCAAGTCAGGTGTGTATCGTAAATCGAGATGGAACCTACGGATACAAATGTGTCAATGGTTGTCCTCTTGGGGAAGCGTCATTTTATCTCGTACCCGAAGGAACGTTCGTTCGAATACCAGTGTCGACGATGACAAAAGGCTGCCTAAAGGTTTGTCGATGTGGAACTGGAGGACGGATAGAAAAGTGCCAACCACTTCCGTGCATCAGTTACGATTCATGCGCGCTGGCGGGAAAACGGTTTGATCATCTGTCATTTTTCTACGTGGAATGTAACATATGTAGCTGTTTTGCTGGCGAGATTACCTGTACTAAGAAGCAATGTCGTATGCCAGGAATTACGTTAAACAAATCGTTCACGAGTTTACCATGCAACTGCCCTCCGCATTATGTTCCAGTTTGTGCTCGAAACGGAAATACATATCCTTCGGCGTGTATAGCCAAATGTGCTGGCATTCAGGATGGTGATATTCAGTTTGGACCGTGCCGTGCGAGAGATCCTTGTGTTGAAGTAGAGTGTGGCCCATTGTCTGTTTGTATACCAGATAGAAACATTTGCTTGTCGACTATGCACAAGCCGTGTCCTCAGCATAGATGTGGTATGTATTGATATTGCGCATATTTCAGCAAAGTAGATTCGGTGCTTTAAATTTTCCTTCAGAATTTTAATCGTTCAGGTCAGTAAAATTAAAAATGGTTGAGGGATTATTTTCAGCGCAGCAGACCTTGGTGCAAAATGCGCAATAATAAGAGCAAACAAGAGTCTATCTCTAAGGATCAAACCGTCTGTGATTAATTTAAGGCTGCTGGATCCGTATCGGGTATCAAGATTATGTCTGCTTGTTGTCTGTCAAACGTCAGTAAGAACGTTTATTTTTGTAACCTGGCTCGGGTTGAGGTTCGCACTGACAATAAGCTCGGGTTCGCACAGGTTGGAACTGGTTCCAACCTGGATAATAAACAAATTCGATATTAGATTTTTCGGTGAGTTCGGAGGTTCGAAGTAAAGTGACGTATACCAAAATGGAGCTGCACCCTAGATGGAGCTTGGGATTAGCTTTGCATGTCCAATGTACCACTAATTTATAGGTCTTTTGGAGAGAGAAGGATGCAACCTAATACACCTCTGTATCTCAACAGTAGTCCCCTGAAGGATATTTGTGTTAGTATTGTTGGTATTACCAACAATCAATACGAAACTATCGATTTTAATTTGGCTCACTACTTGACTAGCCTATTGGTCCCAAGCAAATCGATTAACGTGCCCCATTCTAGTATAAATTCTAGTACTACACTATGTTTGTTTTGATTCACTGATTGACAGATAAAATGATGGGTTAGTGGATTTTCCTATGTTTCGAGGGGTGAATCGATTAGCTTGGGACCGAAGATAGTACCAGAGCTGAGCCAAAAAGTTGAGCACGTTTCTTCGGGACCTACTTGTCTTAGAGTTACCTCTATGGTATTACATCATCATCAACAATCAATAAGAAACTATCGATTTGAAATTGGCTCACTACTTGACTAGCCTATTGGTCCCAAGCAAATCGATTTACGTATCCCATTCTAGTATAAATTCTAGTATTACACTATGTTTGTTTTGATTCTCTATGAAAGTTTGACAGATAAAATGAGGGGTTCGTGGATTTTCCTATGTTTCGAGGGGTGCATCGATTAGGTTGGGACCGAAGAGAGTACCAGAGCTGAGCCAAAAAGTTGAACACGTTTCTTCGGGACCTTCTAGTCTTTTTCATAGTGAATCATAGTGAAAATTTTCATAGTGAATCAAAATAAATTTAGTGTAGTACTAGAATTTCGACAAGAATCACATCACATTTAACAAATTCGGCACTGCCGTAACCCCAGTGGGTTTCGGAATATATCCGGAATGGTTCTGGATTTCGGATAAACCTCTTGCTATTTTAAAAACTTGCACTAATTGTCAGCCATTGGAGGTAATTTCAAATAAAAAACGGATACACAGTTGAAGACAATATATAGTGTTATGTATGAGCCAAAATTATGAGATGGTTTCTTCGAAGCTACTGTATAAAAGCAGAGGCTTAAAATTTACACTTACGGGATTTTTCACTCAGATAGATTTTCATTTCATTCAGTAGCCCTAAATTAACTTTAGACACATGGTTCAATCCTGAGGATAGCTAAAAAGTATTGTTTTACTCTCTGTGTAACTAATCTAAAATTTCCTTAACTTTCCTTTCTAGTTAGCCTGGCATCTACCAACTGCTCAGTGATCACTTCGATTCGAGACACAAATCTGAACTTCTATCCCACCGTATGTGATCTCGTCAAGTCTGGCGGGCTTTTCGCATACCAGGAAAAGTATTTCAAATACTGCGAAACATCACGAAAGAGAACTCAGGTCTGCGGAGTCAATGGAATCACCTATCGAAGTGAGTGTGAAGCTTGGAGCGATTTTTCTGCCGTAGATTATAACGGACCTTGTCAGGAACTAGGAGTCATAAGTTCAACACTTGAAGCAAAGTGTTCATCGATCAAATGTCCCAAACGAAAGTCACATGAATGCAACGTAGTCATACCTCCTGGCGCCTGCTGTCCAGTGTGTGGAACTGCTCTACGCATAATATATTCTAGAAAACAGATCGATCGAGCATTGTACGCATTGAAAGGGAAGAATACGGAAAATCTCACTCTTAAAGCGATCCTCACTTCTCTTGAGCGTTTACTGCAGACTGTAGAGTGCAGAATCAGTGGTCAACTTACGTTTGAGAATGATATCTATGTTATTATTGAAAATGTTAGCAAGCATCCAAATTATTTGCAAGTTGAAATCTGTACACGTGAAGCGGAAAAACTAGTAACATTGATAAAAACTCAAAGCCATATGATAACAAGTGAGCTGAATCTAAGTGCCCTAACAGTCGCCAATCTGATTAAAGTAAATGCCGATAGTGGAACTCATAAAACAATCAGCAGCATAAGCTTGATCTTAATATTAGTCCAATCATTGATCTACGTTAACTTATCATTTAGATAATTGTTGAATTTTGAACCCGTGAATCCGTTAGTGTCAAATATGTCATACCGCAATCAAGTCTGTGATAATTTTGAATTAATTCTAATGTACCAAAGTAAGGATAAATCCCTAGACATAGATGCAATAAATCTCTAGTCCGGAAATTATGTTACAAAAATTGAAAATCATTTATTCCATCTCATCCGAAAATAAAAGTACACTTTTACTTAATTCTAATTTAAACAGAAATCTCACTTCAAATTTACATACGTCGCATCGGTGGTAATGCCGCAGTTGTTACCCTTCACCGCCATCAAAGCATATCCATCGTTGCCCCAGTAGTTGGACCAGGAATTCTTGATTAGCCAGTAATCTTCTCCTTTCAGTTTTCCGTATCCAACTGCCACCACTGCATGATCCAATCCATCCAAATTGTTCTTGCATTCCGGTTCGTAGTATACACCATTTGCGTAGTAGCTGAAGGACTTATGACCGGCATCGATAGCAATCGACAGTGGTCCATGCTTGAACAGAGCAACTTTCATGGCGTCAGCATCTCCAGAAGTAACATTGACCCAACCGTCGATAGCAGCGTACAACGTTTTATTCTCCAAGCGACAGTAGCCATCCTGTCCCAAGTATCCACCGTATTCCTCCTCCGATGGAATACCGCCGACCTCCATCATCCATTGATACGCACGGAAATCTTCTCCACCATCACATCCGTTATTGCCATAGCCCCAAGAGCAATCGATTAAGGCTTGTTGTGAGAAGCGCATCAATTTGTTGTATTTCAGGTAGTAGGCAGACTCGATATGTCCTGCTGTTCCAAACGACCAACAAGATCCACAAACAGACTGATCCTTAACTGGAGTCACGGCACCAGCTATGCGCCAATCAAGACTCTCTGGTAGATCATCCTTGAAGTCTTCCGGATTGTAGGGGAACGGTAGGCCTCCGTTGTAGACATTGGATGACTTGAATCCTCGAAGAGCCGCCAGCTCTTCATCAGTACGATCGGCTAAATGGTTAACGGCGACGGTAAATCCCTTTCCAGCACGGTTGTGTGAGTGGATGAATCGAAGATTTTGACGGAAGATGTCTCGTCGACGATCATGTTCTTTATCATTGTAGTAGTTTTTGCCGTGTTTGTTCTTGAAACGGAAAAACTCGTTATCGAGATGCTCTTCCGAACGGGGGTGGATGAATTCCTGCATGGGATTGAACGTAGCATAATGGCCATTTCCTGGTCCGGGGAAACCAATGCATGGGTCAGCTATTGAAATGATAGAGTAAGTATTACAACCTGGTGTGAAATTATTACTCGGCGATCTTACTAGTCTTGACTTGGAATACTTCGGCTGGGATATCCTGATGTTCGTATGAATCGTAATCCAGATAGTAGTGATCATAATGTGAGCCAAGCAGAGTATTGTATCCCTTCATCTCATAACGAACTGGGATGGGCATACGAGAAGCTGGGTATTTGGGTGATTTGACGTATCGTACCCATAGACTGTACGAGTTGCGCTTTTGGCCGACATCTTCAACTAGCACGAATTTATCACAACTGTAGCCATCTCGTTGCTCAGTACCTATGTAGTTATGAAAAAAAAATCCGTTAATGATGCGAGTTGCAGAATTAATGATTTGTTAAACAAACTCACCGGCAAGTTTAAAGTTCTTCGCGTCTGGCAGAATGCTCTGAACCGAGATAGGGTTATCGGAGGAGCCGTTGACCTGAAGGCATGTTTGTTTGTTCATCGCTTGCTGAGTGGTGACGGGAGCAACCTTTAGACTAGTACCATAATCGCCTTCCTTTGTTAGCTGGTATGTCTGAACCATGTCACCGTAGTAATCTATACGGGAACGACCGTTAGTTTCATCGTACCAGGCATAGAATGGTTCCGTAATTTCGGCATAGGGGATGTTCAGGATACCGCTGACCGCGTACGTTTTGGGCCATTTGGGAGGATTGGTAGCGAGAGCTGAAAGTTGGAATTGAGAATTAATTTTAATAAATAATGAGTAGAGTGAATATTGTGAGTGGATCAAGATAACTTAGAATTCGAGTTCTTAAATCTTGGGAGCGATCATGATATTATTTATGAGTTTTTTTTTTCTTAAATAATCGTTAATTTGTCTCAGAAAAACGTTCCCAGATCGGCATCTCGATTTATTTTCCTAATTCGTGGAGTCTTGGAATTTCCCCAAAAAATATCATGGAATATCACAGAAAATTCTAAACCACGAAATCATGATTGATTTTATATGGTTCGAATCTTAAAGACTTATCTAAGGCCAAGGTTTTTTTTTTAATCGATAAAATTGCATACACGTTAGAGTGGGTCATCGTTATATGGAAAAACGCAAACTTTACCTCATCAATCTAGAACAACCCTTTTTTGGTTCCATTTGGAGTCCCAAACAACTGTGCAAAATTTGGGGACGATTGGTTGTAACTCGGCTTTCCGCATTGCGTTTGAAATTTGTATGGAAATTAGTATGGGAAAACCAACTTTTTTGCATTTATTTGCAACAAAGTTGCTTGAAATTAGCTCAGCTACAACTTTGCCCGAGAATGTATAACTTAATTTATTCAAACAAAAAAGTTAGATTTTTGATTTTAATGATAATAGGAACCACCCTAGAATTCATTGTCATAAAAATGAGGGCCTAACTCTAAGGAACAGCTTTGTAGAAGAGACTTTTAGTCTAAAGTTTCAATTTCAGGCTTAAAACATATCATTCCACCTAAATCTGCATTCTGGACCACTGTGCAATGGGAGTCAGATTCCAAACTGAAATAATTTCGGAGTTTCGTATCTTACTGATTTGGTATGTTCAGATGAATTATTGAAAAACAATAACTCTATCTCATATGTGTAGTTGAAGAGGGTGGGGGGGGGAGGGTGGTAATAATATACCCCGTCCCCCTCAATAGTCAATAGTTTCAAACTGAAATAACTTCGGAGTTTCTAATCTTATCGATTTGGTATGTTCAGGTTGAATTATTCAAAAACATTTGCTCAATCTCATAAGCGTAGTTAGAGAGCGGGGGTTGCTTACTATATGTTGTTTATTTATTTTCATCAACCGATGAAGACTAAGACAAATACATATACAAATTTGTTTTTCTTAAGAATATATAAAAAAAATTGTCTGCTATTCTATTTTTACTTCTTACGAGTTATGATTCCGAATGGAGTTAAAATATTGTTTTAGTTTATGCCGAGACATTGAAAAGCCAATGGTTACGCAGTTGATTGTAAGACGCCATCTTGTTGTAGTGTAAATATTTAATATCCACTTGTCCGTTCATTTGTTAGTGAGGAGATGTTGTTTGAATTATTAGCAGTTGGAAAAATTTAAATTTCTATATAAAGCTTTTATTTGAAATATTTAACTGCCATTAGGGCCACCCGCATATAGAAAACACAGAAGTACCCAACAAACAATTTTAGCTGCCGACCAGCTTGTACAAGCAAAAATTAGCTGCATAAGGCAAATTTTGGCTGTATAAGCTTATCTGCAGCTAAAATTGTTAGTTGGGTAGTCGTACTTACATAAAAAATAAAAAAAAGGAGAAAGCGAAAACTGTCTTCACCAGTTTTGTCCCTGACACAGGTACAGTTGGATTTTGCTTGTTGGGCTATCTTTAAGTGAGCTACGTTTCAGTTGGGCTCCCAAGTCAAACGTTATTTCTAACAGTGCTGATTCCTTTTCGAAATTTCAACCGGCTTCATGCAAAAACCGGCAAACGAGTGGAGTAATGATACAGATTATGTCAATGCGATACAACGAGTTGCTTCCTTGATGGTCGTCAACGATATGGCTGAATGAGGGGTGAAGCTAATTTTTGACTTATCATGAAATCCACCCGAGACCTAGTTCAACAGCAATATTTGCTTCAGGGGATAAAACAGCATCGAAAAAAATTCCCTAAGAAATCGTAGAATATATTAAAATGAAATATAATCATTACAATCCAATGACATTTGTGTGAATATATCTGACGTTGTACATTGCACCAAGGTTGCAAATACTCATTTCAGCTAAAATAATGTTTTTCGGAATAATAAAACCAAAATATGGTATGTTTTATTTGTAACTTACAAGAAGAGGTTACAAAGTATGCGTTTGAAGCATAAAACCTGTAAATTTGGCTTTCTATGATTCACAAACAGCGATTTGCTGATCGCTGAGTGAGTGAGTGTGTGAAAAATAGCTGATTTTGACTCTCATGAATTGAAATAAACAGGTTTAATATGTCAAACACATTCTTTGCAACCTCTTCTTGTATCCTACCAATTCAAAATATGATCATGGCATCTAATTATTTCAAAATAAAAAAAAAATTGTTTTAGCTGAAATGAGTATTTGCAACCTTGCATGGCACCAAAAATGGGAAGGGACAAATGTTTTTGAATAACCCATCCGAACAACTCGAGAGATGGGAAACTCCGAAGTTATTTTAGTCTTTATCTTTACTTTCATTGATATAAGTGAGGGGCAGAAAGGATACAGTAAGCCCCCCCCCCATATCTAACTATGCCTATTAAATGGAGCACATGTTTTTGAATACATATGATACCAACTTGACAAGATAAGAAACACCGGATTTATTGCAGTTTGTTGCTTTACTTCCATTTTAATGAGTGAAGGGCGGGGGTATAGTTAGCCCCCCCTCATCACTAAATATTCCTATGAGATTGAAAAATTGTTTTTGAATAATTCATCTCAACATACCACATCGATAAGATAAGAAACTCCGAAGTTAACAATTTTTATTTTTTAGATATTTGTATATGCAGTCTACATTTACTGACAATTTCAAATAAAACGTATGTTTTAAAATAGCATGTAAGGCAACAGCACTATTGTAAAACGGTCTACACTAATTGACGACAAATAAATAAATAAATAAAATAAATTTCACTTTGAAGTCTGACTTTCATTGGTGCACCGGCAGTGTTGGCAGAAAAGGGGATTTTTGGCATTTAATTCGAACCATTGATCTTTGAACAGCTATAACTTTTTTTAGATACATTCTAGTATCATACATCTTTTAGCAAACTTGTTAGGCAGTTTATAGGCTATACTTTAACGTATTGTCCAAAATTGTGGTCCCTAGTAATAAAGATGCAAAAAAGTAGGTTTTCCCATACAAATTTCAAACGCAATGCGGAAAGCCGGGTTACAACCAATCGTCCCAAAATTTTGTACAGTTGTTCGGGACCCCAAATGGAACCAAAAAAACAATGTTCTGAAAAAATGATCATAATGACCCATCCTAATACACATAAACAGCTGTAACTTTTTAGCTATTATACCAAATAACTATAAATTTTCTGTGAAGATTTTTTATAAATATTGTTTTCCTTGATTTGTTTTCCGTCGATCTTGTTTTGCGTTTCCACTAGTTTCTGAGTTTGTCACGGATTCAGATGAAAGATTTTTACGACTACGCGATTTAAAATATATGTACGTCCTGAATGGCTAATCCAATAACATCTCAAATCCAAGTAAGAATACGCAGACAAAATATAGACTTTCATTACTTTTTCTTCAAGAGTATCTATGCTAATTGATTATTTTAGATGGTCAAATTTTGAACACACCACAGCATGCTTTTGGCGCTACTGTATATGGACGATCAAATCTAGATAGAGCTGGAATTAGGGCCTAACAACTTTTTTTTTCTTGATTTGTTTTCCGTCGATCTTGTTTTCCGTGCTGAGCACCAATGCTACCGACGCCAGAGAGGCAGCTCCCACACCTGGACCCTACCTATCGACCCATCATCAACTCATGAACCGGGGACCAACGGCTTTACTTCAGGCGTGATCAGAGATGTTATGCCTCAGAACATCCCGGCGTCGCCGACTGGGATTGAACCCAGGCCTGCTGGGGTGAGAAGTAATCACGCTTACCACTACACCACCGGTGCCGCTAAACCTAACAGCTTTTGTAAACAATTACTTCTCTTGATGATTTCTAGAAATTTAAGGCTCGCTCACGCAAACCAACATCCTCATTTGGTAGGGAAAGACTTCCCCTATCCGAAGGTTAGGTTGGTTTGCGTGGACGTGCCTTGAATTCCTAGAAATCATCGATAGAAGTCATTGTTTACAAAAGCTGTTACGCCCTAATTCCTACACGGCGAATGAGAACGACTCAAATTTGAGTTTAGTTCACTCATAATCGCCAAAAGTGCAGGAACTCAGCGATGAGTAAAATTTGTCTCATGGTTTCCTGTGGAAAACCTAAAAAATCTGCCGGAAAATGAGGAAATTTACGAAAATTTTATTCAGTCTCGGAGTAGTACCAATAGACTGAGTGAATCCAATCTTTACTTTTCTCAAATTCAGGAATTTTTCTCTGGAAAATCCTGGAAAAACCTGGGAAAACATGAGGAAAATTAACTCATCGCTGAGTTCCTGCACTTTTGGCGATTATGAGTGAACTAAACTCAAATTTGAGTCGTTCTCATTCGCCGTGTACTATATCTAGAAATGTAAAATACTGTGCACAGTACAGTTCTGTCAAACCTCAGCATTTTCATTGATCCATTTGGATGGGGTGTCTTCATACTAATATAGTATGAAACGTTGGATTTGTTCCCTCGCGTAAATACTTCTTTGTTTGTTTTGAGCTATACTTGCCATAAGCACCGAAATTGTTTACGATTTGTTGATATATATTATTTCTGGTTTATGCGATATTGCGCACGAGTTTACATATAAATTTACGCAAACGGTACCTACAGTCACTGCCTACTTTGCTCAAAATAACACGTTGATTTTATCATGGTCTTTTAGTATCGTTCAGAATCAACACACATGATGAAATTTTTTCATAATATTTTATAAAAAAATAAATGTCTGCATAAACTCGGTGCATTACGGTACTTGAAGTCATAAAATGAGGCAATTAAACAACTTTAAAATCAAAGCTTTATCAGAGGGCCCCAGAGAATTGTAGGAAA